TTGATGGGTTTAGGGTTTAGGGTTTCGGGTTTAGAGTTTGGGTTCAGGGTTTGGGGGTGAACACTTCCCAGCATTAAACTTAGGTCTCGCGCTTCGGACAAGCATACCTGCCAGTCAAGGCATGAGGTTCTGCCTGGGAATGCGCAACAAAATTCCTCCGGAAGATGACGTTACTGCATTCAGCAGTAAGTCTTCCTCAACCTCAGGTAGCCGAGTTGGCAGGAGTCTCGAACCACATGGGCACACTCGAGTCTCATTCTCACCACATCAGCTTTCAAAGCACAAGATGTGCCAAGGGCACTTTGCACGGTAGCAAAGTGTAGATCGCCGCCACGGCGACACTATGGACTAAGTGCTCGATCTACGAAGCTATTTTCATTTACAAGGTTCCACGTATTCTACATGCGCCTTATGTAGGATTGGTTCTGTGCTTCCCACTTGTTCATGTTGCATTTGTAGATCGATGTTCTGTCACGGCTTCTGCCGAGGTTTGCACTCATTGATTCAACCATCTGCATTCGCCGACTCTTATGACATGCAGGCCCTGGCAGAAGGTTGCAACAATGAAGCCTCGCCAAATCACTGATCGAGACCGGTGTCGTCATTTCCCCTCATTCAGGACTTCGCCTATCTTCTTTGATGGCAAGCCAAGCCTTAAGAGGCTGATATAGCAGCATATCAGCCATTGAAAGCATCCATGGCGCCGCACTCGCCTGCGCAATGGCACGGCATGGAGATCAAGCCTGTCTGTTGAAGCTCTGCCCGTTGTCACGACATGCGCACATGCTGGCGGCTCACTTGAAAAGCTGGCGCGGGTGGAGACACTTCCCGTTGACAACGCCGTTGAGCGCCTTCGGGCCAAACGTGGCCAAACTTATATGCGAGTTCATGAGGATTTTCTCCAGGTGAACTTTACCAGGGTGGCTCGACGTAAGCCCGCAGCCTGCTCTTTGGACCAAGTTGTGCTGAAGAAGACTCCTGATAAAGCATCACAAGGACTTCACTGTGGCATCTGATTCTGCAGTCGTTCAAGCCTGGGTTTGGAAGCTGATGGCGGCCTGAAGATGAGCAGGCAAGGCCTGACCGAGTTCGCTGCTTCGCGGCTCCCTGCGCTCCAAAAGGGTCGGAGGCACGGCGACAGTCCACCGACTCGCGAAAAGCACCACAACCTCGCTCCCCAGAAAGCGCTAAATGCACAACGGCATGCAAAGGCCCAAACAATTTTGGAGGGTAGATGCCGACAAACGGTCTTGGGCATGGCGAAAGGTTCAATATCAGCGAGATTCCACGTCTGCCAGCTGTCGGACGGCACCAAAACCTTTAAGAGGAGTAAAACAGCCGAGATCGGCCGAGGCGGACGAGCCCGCGACGCGGGTCCGACGAACCGGTCTCAGTTTGCCACCGGCCTGCTTGATCTGCGTCAGCCTGTTCTCCTCACATCGCACATGCGCAGAGGTTTAGTTAGGTGCACCGTGTTCACACGCCATGCAGCTGAAGGTTGTCCATAAGACAAGTAGTCAGGGTGAAAGGCAGAATTCGGATATGTCGCTGTGAAGTCATCTATCGTGCAAGTACCAGTATGCTTTACGCCGGACTGGACCTTTCATGTATGAACTGAGGCCTCCGGGTAGTGCCCTGAAGATTCCTAAGGTTTGGAAGGTCGATACTCGTACTCGGGGCTTGCCAGACGAAACAGCTTTGCAATGTAACACTGGCGTCTTGCATGTGTGTCAAGACGGGATCCTCTGAAGCGCAGTTGAACAATGCATCTCTAGCTGCCAGCCATTTCTTCAAAGAGGTACTCTGTGGTTGATGCACGGAGGGAACCCCGCCTGGATTCGACGCACCTTTCCCAGCTCAGCACGAGCTGATGCCATGAGACGCTCGAGTTCCTGCAGGTCTTGACCAGTGCCCGGACAAGAAACATGTCGAACATCCCCCTAAACATATTTGACGGGCCCGTAGAGAGATACTCTGTGAGATGCGGTTTCGGGATATTAGGCCCTCTTCCCAGGCCTCAACTGATAAAGCTACGCAGCTACACAAACATGTGGCAATCTTCGACCAATAAGACCATATCTAAGAAGACTCGTGAGAAATCATCCCAGGTTCCAGGAACCAAGCCTTGAAAGCAAGAAACCTATCATAAAACTTCCAACTTTGGAGTAGCAGGGAAAGGCTGGCAAATCTGCTTGCATCCATATTGTTGAACACGCTGCCTGTGCAGCTGCCTCTTGCTGCTTCGGAGTTGGCGATGATGCAGCTTGCTGCATGAGCGCTGCTGCGCGGCCCGGACGAAACGGGCCAAGCTTGCCTGACAGAACTGGACGAGTGCAAACGATACAGCCGTCGCTTCGTTGTCAACTGCCGGCAGGTGTTATGTAGCGCGAGATCACTCTCTTCCCAGGCAATTGCTCAGCTTCCCACATCGATGGATGTAGTCGTCAAGCGCGCTAATGTCAGAAGTCTGCGGATAACACGAACAGGTGCACAAGCAGATTAGGCGTTGCAACTATGAGGTTACGCTTGCATCTTCATGGCTCGACTGTATCAAGACCACGAAAGCCAGCCAACTTGCTGCTTGGCACATGAGAGGAACGGTTGAGAATTTCAAGGCGTCTGTGTTTTGGAAGCTTCGGGATTTCATTGGAAGCCCCTATTTCGTCTATGTTTTTCATGAAGCCCTCTCTGCGCTCTGCATTTGAAGAAGGCCACCTCTAGTCTCTACATTGAAGAGGAAAACCTCAATTTCCACTGCATTTTGCGAGAGTTGAATTAGAAAGATTCGCCGAGGCCTCGGGCCGTAGAAGTCTGGGTAGCACAAAGACACCTCCAATCCCCTCCCCACTTTGTTTTGCACTTTTTGGAAGGAAAACAAAACTAATTGGGAACCCTTCTTGCCTCTTAAGCTTGACAAATGCATTTGTTTTTTCAGATTCGCGGGGCTTGTTTTGTACTTCGAATTCCGCGGGGCGGGTTTGGCGGGTTTCCTCTACATATGTTCACCCGACTGCCCCGTTCCTCTATACCTCTGCTTGCTACCTATTTCGTAGATTCAAAGCGCGGCATCGGGCGCGCAGACTCACCTCCACACCCATAAGTGCCGTTAAAGAAGACTTTTGTGGGTTTTGAAACATGTCGATTGATAGTATGCTTTGCTTTGAAGCAAGCGAGCACGGCTGAAACGAGCGGAAGGGGGGTGGAGGGGGGTGGAGGGGGGTGGAGGGGGGTGGAGGGGGGTGGAGGGGGGTGGAGGGGGGTGGAGGGGGGTGGAGGGGGGTGGAGGGGGGTGGAGGGTGGGTGAGGGGGTGGGGGGGGTGGAGGGGGGTGGAGGGGGTGGAGGGGGGTGCGGGGGGGTGGAGGGGGGTGGAGGGGGGTGGAGGGGGGTGGAGGGGGGTGGAGGGGGGTGGAGGGGTGGAGGGGGGTGGAGGGGGGTGGAGGGGGGTGGAGGGGGGGTGGAGGGGGGGTGGAGGGAGGGGTGGAGGGGGGTGGAGGGGGTGGAGGGGGTGGAGGGGGGTGGAGGGGGGTGGAGGGGGGTGGAGGGGGGTGGAGGGGGGGGTGGAGGGGGGTGGAGGGGGGTGGCGGGGGATGGAGGGGGGTGGAGGGGGGTGGAGGGGGGTGGAGGGGGGTGGAGGGGGTGGGGGGGGGAGGGGGGTGGAGGGGGGGGGAGGGGGTGGAGGGGGGTGGAGGGGGGTGGGGGAGGGGGTGGGAGGGGGGTGGAGGGGTGGAGGGGGGTGGAGGGGGGGGGAGGGGGTGGAGGGGGGTGGAGGGGGGTGGAGGGGGGTGGAGGGGGGTGGAGGGGGGTGGAGGGGGGTGGAGGGGGGTGGAGGGGGGTGGAGGGTGGTGGAGGGGTGGGCGGCCCCCCCATGCCTTGGACGCTTAACGTCTATTCTGCGCGTGCTCTTTGTTTTCTTGGATTCCTCCCGAAAACCTTTCTGGAATTGGGCTCTCGTTTGCGGAAGGCGTTCTATCGGATCGCGTTCTAGCGAAAGAGGCCACCAAAAAGGAGACGGTCAACGGAGGAGCATCGGACGGAATGAATTTTGACGGGAGGCCACGAAAATGGGTCGGAACATTTTGCTGGGAGAGGGGCGTGGTGTGGGGAAGCGTGGACCATGCATGTCGATTGACGGACGGGGGCGAGGACAAGGAGCGGGGAGCGCAGAGCGTGACATTGGGTTGATGGGCAGGGGAGCGGGGGACACGCGGTATCCGGTTGAAGGGGTCACCCTCCACGCCCTCCGCGCCCTCCGCGCCCTCCACGCCCTCTGCGCCCTCCGCGCCCTGCACGCCCTCCGCACCCTCCGCGCCCTCCGCCCCCTCCGCCCCCTCCGCGCCCTCTGCGCCCTCCGCGCCCTCCGTGCCCTCCGCACCCTCTGCGCCCTCCGCGCCCTGCCTCCGCCCCCTCCGCCCCTTCCGCCCTCCGTGCCCTCCGCGCCCTCCGCGCCCTCCGTGCCCTCCACACCCTCTGCGCCCTCCGCGCCCTCCGCCCATGCAGGACACAGTGTGCTGATGCTAAGGGTGCATTGCGTCTGTTCTGCGGGTGCGTTGCGTCAATTCTGCGGGCGTTTCCTTTGTAAAGCATTTGTTTACAAGGCACGCGCGTGCAGCATAGCCTTTAAGTGTCCACCTTACGGGCGCCCCCCCCCCCACGATTGGAAAAGGCTCTTACGACGGAAAGGATTCATAGGGGGTTGATGGCATCATGGATGCGCCTTGGCTAGGCTCGGCGGACCACGGAACTAGGAGAGCAGGGGACATGCAGGACCGAGACCAGAGGACGGGAGAACGTGCAAGGCAAACATACACAGTTTTGCATCCACTCCATCTGGTATACTTTCTTTATACGAAGGACACTGGGCCTGAAGCTCGCGTCCGCATGCCGCGAAACGACCGGTCACAATGCCTCGCTCGCATGATCATAGCTATGACAAGTAGGCTCAAACAACCTATTCCTAGCAACTCGACATATACAATCCAAGGTGCATGTCATTGCCAGGTACTTGCCATCCACCAATCGATGCGGGGCCGAACGAGTTGGGTCCACGCGAAGCTTAAACGGTGGATAAGGCCTCAGCCCACGCAGATCAACCATAGGACGGCTACTCCCAAGAGTTTTTTAGACAACAGCAGTGTCCGTGTACTGCAGGATACGGCATGGCAGAGTGCAAGATACACTAAGACATTTGCAAGATCCCTGTAGTCTGATGACAACTTCGACAAGAAGTTGCCGCCGAGGAGCAGCAAGCAAGTTGGAAAGCCGGACAACGGGCAAAGCAATGGGGCCGAGGGGCGAGTCCACCAACGCACCTAAGCTAACAACTCAAGCCTTCTCGGAAAGGTGGACAGAGGACAAGCTCAGCCCCCCCACACTGCTGTTGGCAAACTTTTCCTAAGCACACAGGCTTGGTATGCTTGGATTCGTCTATGCATCTAAGTGTATTGTGCCAACCATGATTCGGACTTTAGGTCACTCCAGATCTCTCAAGCTGGATGCCCTCAGGCTGAGTGCTGGACCTTCCCTTTCTGCTTCTCCTGCAGGGTGCTTGGCACAACAAACCATTGCTTTGACTCACGCATCACCGGCCGCACAAATTTCTATAGAGGGCTCCTGGGACAAGATGTCTTTGAGCACTGGAGCCAGAGCTTTCTCCAACACAGCTTCGTCAATGTCCGTACTCCTCGGTACAAAAACAATGCGGCTTCTGACGCTCTGGGCCATTTCCGCTATTGCACAACGGACACGTACATGTTGCCAGCCGGCTGCACATCCGCCCGTATGCCCTAGCTGCCCTCCCATGCCAATCTGAGAGGCAATGACAGCGTTGCCTCACAGTAGCTGGTAGTTTGCTCTGAAGAGATCGGGCAGCACACTGATGCACACGGTGCTGTTGCACAAGCTCCTCCTCGACTCCGACGTCCCTTTTTGCTTCAAGAGCCCTCAGTGCCATGGCACACTTCAACTGCCCTCTAGCTGCCTTCCCCAATCAATCGGATGACTCGGCTGCCCGCCAAGCTGTTAAGGCACCCACGCAAGCTACCTGCCGCAGAGGCGTGCGAGCCACGAGATCTTCTGCAAAATTTGCCAGCCTCTGGATCTGTAGTCTGTGACTCTGGTGTCGGAGGGGCTGGAGGCGTCGCTGGCTCATCTGTCGAACACCTCACAGGAACTGCTGGGCCGCGGCAAAAGGCGGCAGCTCTTTGGCATATTTCCAACTCGGACTCAGGACCAAGGAGTGTCGGCCTTGTCCCAGTACTTTCCGGCCGGGTGCAGAAGGCGCTCATTTCTTGCATGGCCGCACCTAACAATTGCATGGTGCCAACCCCACTGTTGCCAAGAGAATTCCCGACACAGCTTCGATGCTACCCCAGGTACAGCTGCTGATGCTGTCAAGCTCGATGACTGCCTGAGTGCTAAACTCTTAAACTGTCCACCAAATACTTGCATGGGCTGCTCTTCCAAGCCACGCATGGCGAGAGCACGAGAGTAAGTAAACGAGCACAAACGAGCCTTCCATCTGACAGAAGCACTGAGAGCTAAGCGGATTTCGCATGAGCGAAAGCACGAAGCACATCTCCTGGCTCTGCACTCCAAGCACCGTCTAGTCATACCTTTTGCTCCTGCTGCTACTTGCTCCTTGTTTTGGTTCATTTTTTGGTGGTGGGTGATGATTTACAAGTTGGCAACAAGACGACGCAGGCGCAGCATGCAGCTTCCCAAGACGAAGATTTTCTCGGAGTTACGGATTGACTACACCACGGCTGCACAAGGTCTACTAAGTCAGTCACAAAAGTCCAAGAGGTGGAGGCCACACGTGCCCTCAGAGTTGATCCCTGCAGAGCTTAGTAAGTGCTTCTGGCCACCTAGCTGCCATCATTCGTTGTCGCGCAGATTCGCGCAGCTTACGCCATACTTCGCCCACCTGCAATTGACTTTAACGCAAGTATTCTGCAGCTCGAAGCCACTGCAGCTACAAAGGGCTGATCAGGACAACGAACTTGGTTGGGCCCCACTGACCCCGCTTCTGCAGTGAAGCTTTGTACATGCAGCACTGCAGCACTCTTTGCTACATGACCAGGCACTCAAAACAGCCCTTAACACAACCGTTGCTTGACTCCAGGGCTCCTGGGCACATGCTGCATGGAGGCGGGAGCCCAGGTGGAGGAGCGATGTTGAAGCTCCTGTATCTTACTGTATCTTACTGTATCTCGCGCCACAATGAGGAGGTGCCTAGCATCCAAACTCTCAGGGCAGGGCCCCGGATCCACCATGTCGTGCCCGCCTGCGCAATGAGAACCCTGTCTAGGGGCCCCGCATTTCACCGCTCTTTTTTGCGTTTTGCTACCAAGGTGCAGCGCTGAGCAAGGCTTGGCGGAATGGGAATGAACATAGGTCCCTTGGCACTCGCCATTCCTCGGATTCCCAGATACGTGCGATACGTGCCTAGCCATCTATTGCTAACACCGCAGTGCGATGATGTCGACGGACATGCCGCGCCTCCGGCAGAAGGATCGAAAGTGAGGTCGTGAGCTGCTGAGCTCTTAACTAATTAAGCTTGGGCCACTCGGATCAACAATGCATTCATGTCATGTGCAAAGTACCGGTCGACCCTGCAGCTTGCCAAAATAATCAAAAGAATGGAGCCATGCATACTATACACATATGTAGTATGCAATATGTGTATTGTAATGGATACTGGATGATAATTTAACTCGTTGGTTGCTTCGCTAAGTATTCAAAAGGTGTGCAGCCAAGCGCAGGCCTCTGCTCCTGATGTGGAGGATGTTGCACAGCCCAGCAAGCGGATAATTAAAAACGGGGTAGGTTCGAGAGCTGGGCTGTCCATTGCTAAAGTATACACCTCGTCTCACCATCAAACCAAAAGAGCCCCAAGCAAATCCGCAAACCGAGTCTGTTTGGCATTCTATGCATTCTGGGCACCGGTAAGGTTACTTCATCTGGCTTCACTCTTTATGATCGTGCAAAGTACTCTCTTGCTCTGAGGTTTTCGTAAACGCCGATACAATTCATCTGTTCAGCGCGACAATCTCTCAAGGTTTCGCCCTGGATTGCAGATGCTTTGTATATAGTTTTCCTGCTGGGTCACGGCAGTTGCAGTCCCGCCAAGATCAATATGAACTCAGCGGAATGAAACACGGGAAGGAGAAGAACCGCCTGCAGAATCGCGCAGGCAGTTCAGGTTCGAAACCAGACACTAGCTTAGCTACTGGCGAACGAGATCCTTGCCGTCTCGTTTCAAATTCGGTTGACCAGTTGCACCCTGGGTCTGTAGCAGTCAAGCTGCCGACTTGAAAGTAAGATCTATAGTTAATCTGCAATTGCGTGTAACTGGATCTCCTCAAATCATCCAGAGCTCTTGCTCACGGATTGACCTGACCTCAATTCGCCGGGCATGGCCGTCGGAATGCATGTAGCATACCTGTAGCTCTAAATTGAGTCAAGGCACTGTAGCTCCAGCCAGTAGTAGAACATACTCGAAAGCTGACCTGGCTTTCTTAACTTGCACAAAGCATATCGAGTCCTACGCTGGGCCAGACCTGCTCCACAAAGCCCATTTGACTGAACCTGGAAAGCCACCAACGTTGCAACGCCAGTATGTTGCATCGGAGAAGATCAGAGCATGCACGCTGAGATGATGACTCGTTGATGCACTGCGCATCTTGGCAGCGCACACAGTGGAATCTAAACCTGAGCTTATTTATGGTAGGGAGGCAAGCCACTGTCCAAAGCTAGGGCTGCACTGCCTGTGCAGGTACTCACTTCATGCTGGAAGCAGCGTCACCCTACAATTCCTTGATTTCAAACATCAGAACAAGTCAGAGAAATGCCATCAAGCCACTCTGGGAAAAGAGTCCTGATGCACAATCAAGGAAGCTCTATGCTCAGCTCTGTAGATTGTGCTCGGATACCTTTGCTTGAGCGCCCAACTGGTTGAATACCTGTCGGTGCCAGCACCAGGGAGTCAAGTCATAGATGGTCCTGGAAAGAAGGCAGCTCCGAGAACATGTGGGTCCCACTTGGATTTCACCACTAATTAGCCACCACTACCGGTGATTAAAAAAGTGCTCCTGGGAGGCCATTGCGCCATCCACACTATGACGAAAATCAGCAGAACCAAACCTGCCCCACGCACACAGAAGGATGTACACTGATACCGGCAACTGACAGGATCATCTAGCAAGCTCATGTGACCTTCCAGGCACACATGGTCGAGCCTAACAGCAACATGAACTTTTGCAAACATCTCTCCCACTTCAACCTTGGAAGATGCATGGACGCCACCGGACGAGAGGTTCAAGATAAGGTACCAAAAGCTTGCTCCCACTGCTTTCCGAGTTGGCTGAGCTGTGCAAGTGTACACTCTGCACACTAGGACCAAGCCTTTGCTTCTCTTTTGAGATGAGTTTCGATGCCGCATACTCCGCAGCTTCCTCGTCGTCCAGATTTCTGCCAATCAATATTCCTCAGGATGCACACGTGTCATCCTCGAAAACCGAGACCCGGCTTGGTAGGTGGGGGGAAGATGAGCCAGTCGCCCAAGATGAAGCCGGAGATGTATCCTGACCCACGATCGCTGTGTCTCTCTGTGTGTGTGATGCTTTTCCATAGTCTGACAAAACGACCGCAAGGCGTGGCCAGAGTCAGAGCATTGGCGGTCGGTGCTTTTGCAGCATAGGAAGGCAACTTCACAAGGCTTATACGTAGACTCTTTAGCCAAGCTTCCTCCAAAGTGCGCTGAGTGACCTTGCCAGACGTGTATATAAACTCGGCAAAGAAAAAGGCGCAAGTGAGTTGAGAGCTCTGGCTCTGCCCCTTATCACTGCAAACTGCAACGGGAAGCCCAGAACCAAAACGGTGATCCTCGTTCCCAGAACATCAACCCTGAGCCTGACATACCCAGAACCTCACCGACACTTCCATGCAGGGTCTTTCAGGCAGCACAACCTTACTTTAAGCTGTGCTGGCTTAGCCAACCCCAGGGATCTTGAGGGATCGGAGGGCTTTTCAAGCAGATTTGTCGGATGCCCATTGGAATCGCCTTTACAGTACCTGTCCATTTCGACACATTGCCGCCTGCCAGTATTTCACTAGCAGCTGGCAACATCGCCCAACCCAACAGGCCAAGCGGCTTGTGGAGCTTTCTTTCACGATGCTGTCAAAGTAGGCCTGACATGCAAACTGGACGGACATGTCATGCCTGCGACGATCCACAACCGGCAAATAGGCCCATGTGCAGCGGGAGGAGCCATGCCCACGTCGCAAGCGAAGAGGAAGAGCAGAATGAAAAGCTCTGGCCGTCTGTAGCCTTCAGGAGACCCCCCTCCCCTCCACTCTTACTTTCAGTTCTGCCTAACCCAGAATGGCATAGTGCATACGAGCTGAGACTGTTTTCGGTACAAAGAACTACGCCTGTTCAACGCAGCCTGCTAAATGCAATGTAAGCAGTAGGTAGCTGGCAGCTGCATCATCATTCACAGCAATTCCAAGCTAACAATTCCAAGGACTGGACGGGTATCGGCCCAATTCAGCATCAGCGACTTGGCGAGAGCAGGCAAGCTTAAACCCCTCAACTAAATCAGCTTCAACAAACTGGCTTAAAGCATCAAATTTGCCAGTGCAAGCCACAGGCACTCCGAAGGTCATGCCCATCAGCGCATAGGCGCCACCAGACATTCCGACCAACTCGGCGTGCCCGTCTGTCACAACCTGCTAACCAAGTATGAGCCCGGTTCGCTAAATGATGCGACAGTCTACCAACGCGCACGTACTAAACAAATGACTGCTGCTGCCAAGATTCGAAGTTGAGCGCAGAACACACAACGCCCAAGTTGAAGACCAACTCAGAACACAATGGACTTGAGTCATTTGCAGTTCACATATTCACACATACTCCATGGACTTGCTGACAGGTCACGAAAGTTCTGATGTGCCCGTGGTACATTTCCAAACGGATGCCCACAGCAAGAACCAGCAATGTATTGAAGCCGATGTGCCTTGCACCCAAAAGCTTCTATAACAAACCAACTCTCTTGTAGCATTTTCTGGCCCTCCACTTCCTGCAAGGAATAATGCTTGCGAAGCCACCAGACTCCGGAATGGGTGTACCTCAATTGCGCAGGAAGAGCACGAAAAAACACAAGAGGATTTTTCTGGAATCTTGAGGTTTGGTGCGGTGGTGCCTTTGCAGGGTCCTCGCCGAAGCCGCATTTTCTACCATAGCACCTCTTTTGAAATCAGCCTTCCGCCGCTGAGGGGTTTGAAGAATCCGGTGTGCTTTGCTTGAGTTTCGTTCGCAGATGGGGCAGGGGGCACACTTCGCCCAGAGTCACTAGTTGTCACTAGTTGTCACTAGTTGTCACTAGTTGTCAACAGTTTCCAGCTAAAGCTGCAGCTTGGGTACTGGTATGAAAGCCATCTCCAGACTTCCCAGCGCAAGTCCGTGCAATCCTAGCATCTGCCAGTGTGTTTGTGGTTCTTGTGAAGCCACACAGTCCCAAGGGTCTACAGTAAGCTGCCAGCCCTGTGGGTCAACATCGTGGTCCAACCCACAGCCACGGACTCCAAGCCAGCTAAAGCTTCTTCGAACCTGCCATGCACACTTGCAGGTCGACACGATGGTACCTTGTCACTGACCACTCCTTTTGGGGGATCATGGAAATGACGGCACTCTTCTAATCTAAGCTGCTACGAGTTACCTCGGTGATGGTTGCAACTGGCGTAGATTGGTGCAGGCAAGGCACCCACCATCAGCCTGCGAAGCGAAAACGACCTGATCTTTTCCAGCACGGCCAGTCCAGCATTTGGAGAAAATGTACGTCTTTTGGACTGCTCGGGTAATAGTAGCTGGTCACTCATCAAGTCTTGACTTAGCAACTTAGGCCTTCACCCAAAGGGTCACTGCCGCAAGAGACTGAAGCACGATGAAGATCGGCCTGAGGCATCAGTCTTTCCACTTTGTCGCGCAATACTTGTCCAGCCTAGCATGTTGACGCCCAAAAAAGTGCGCTCAGGCAACGGCCACGAATCCATCTGGTCTTCGACAGCCAAACCCGAAACAGCCCTTGGCAGCTTATCTCGCGAGGGAGATGATGCGCACACGTGGCTCTAGTGAAGCTCTGCTGCTATAGCTCTGGCACGCTGGTTCACAACATGTCACCACATATTTGCATACAGCAAAGCAAGGGTTTGCTGTGATTGCCTCTCCTCGGCAATCCTGACAGGTCGTTTGTGATCGTTTCGTCTGTCAATCGAAGTTGGCTCTTTGCCACAAACGAGGAAGATCACGATGCTTGTATGAGGCAGCCATGCGCCACTTAACGTTGCAACGGAAACTCTGCTGATCTATGGATAGGTCTTGCCGTGCAGAGCTACATGGACAGTACTGCAATATACTGCAATGCACTGTATACGGTTAGTACTCCCATATACTCCCAGTAATCCCTGGCACACCTCAGAGCGACCAATTGTGCGCTTTTTGGTCTGCCTACACTCCAGCACGACATTACCCAAGAATATGTTCAGTTGGATATGAGGAACACGAAAAGACATGATTTCAGCAAAGGGTCCCCTCCAACATCCCAAGATCGCTGGGATCCTGCCGCAAGGCAATATGCACTGGCAGCTCTGTGCAGGCGACATTGCGCCATTGCGTAAGCTGTATCGCTGCACTTGCTGCAGTGGGTACTCTGCAGATGCTCGATCTCTTGAGGCAAGGGCCGCCTCACCTGCTGCCTGTCGGAGACGTCCTGGGACTTTGCAGATTGTTGCAAGTGATTTGAAAAACGTCAAAGTGTCCCACATTGCCGCGATTTGCCTCCGATATATACAACGCGACTACCACGGGCACTCCGGCCTTGCAGATGAATTGATCGCGTGAGCTTCTGTTTGCGTGCCGATCGCCTTCACCGAGCTGTCATTTTCTACAGCAAGGGAACGACAAAGCACCGCACGCCTGTCTAAGGAGCGACCGGTGAAGAAGTGCTTCAGAACATCCATACACGATGCATCATGTTCGAGCAAGTCGTGGTGCTCCTGGTTCATGCACAGCCACAAGAACATTGTCGCTTTACACGGTTTCGCGCATGCAGCTCACTTCTTGCAGGGCCCTGTCCGCGTCCGCGAACTTCCTTGGAAGACATGCTTTCAACTGAAACTGCTGAACTCTACGAGCTTCCTGTTGCTTCCTGCCTGGCACAAACGGTACATGCATAAGCAATTTGTTGCTACAACTGAAGCTGCAGTGTGACGTGCTTCTCCATGCGGTCAGGCTTCAAGCAGCAGCGGCGGCAGCTTCCACCGCAACCAGTATTTTTTCTGCGCAGTGAACTCGAAGCTCCGAATGACATCGTGCCTGGAAAGAGTCATGTGGCCTCTGCACATACTCGTGGTGGAGCTCACTGCAAGCACGCTGAGTCCAAGACCATCACCCTCAGACTCGCTAAAGCCCATCTGGTCGAGAGGTGGAAAGTCGTTGCAGCAAGTCAGATAAGAGAAGAGCGTGCCTTCTGCGGCAGAGGTCTAGGCGAAACGCGGCCATTGCCATTCATGGCCAGTCTGTGTGTGCCTCGCTTTAAGCGAGGTAGACAAGACCTGATGTGCTGCTCATGTGGTAGTCAAACAAGAATCAGGAGGTCCAAATGCTTATCTGCTTGTTCAGTGGGGCAGGGTTCCAACCATGCGGGTTTAAGCAATCAGAAAAGCTCAGCGCGCTGAGTACTCTCCGGACACATGCTGCGACACATAACCTACTCACTGGCTCACAGGGCTGTATCTTGCTCGTCTTGCTGCCCCGTGCATTCCTGCATTCATCTTGAGCCAGAAGCCAGAATCAAGACCTCCGTCGAAACAGAGCCTACAGCTTCTCCAAACGAAAGGTAACAGACCACAAGACAAACGACACAAAGGGACGCCTGATTCGCTCGAATCTCATGAAAGGATCGTGACAGGACAAGGAGCAGAGAGATCTATACGTGCAGAGGGACAGGAGGGACAGTTTCGAGGCAAATCTCTTGCATGTGGTGTTTCCTTCCTGCGGGGAGGTTTTTATCGCCTCAACCACTCCTCTAGCCGACCTCCTAAAGAAAGCCCCTATGGCGTATACCCCAGTGGAGGAGGCCCCAGGCATAGGCAAAGGAGGCAGGGCAGAGATTGCAGCCAGGAGCCCTGGCAGCTGAGGGACGCGATTTGCACTTGGACCAGGCCTTCGGAGTGCCGAACTACTACCCACGAGTAGCAGAGGCAGAGGCGCATCGATCAAAGCAGGCTAAGCCCAGGAATGGCAAAAGCTCACCCAGGACACAAGGAGACTCAAATCTTCCATTTCTTCGGTCACAGAAGAGACTCCGCAAGTCGCTTGTTGGCATAAAAAAAGTCGCCGACGTTTCGCCTGCATCAGTTGATTGAGGGTTTAGGTTTATTGAGTGGCTCCGAACCACATTGGCTAGCAAGAACGGCCTGTCGCATGATTTGGGCTGCGGCTTACACAGCAAAAGTCACCATTACACCCCTAAGCATCCCAAAACGCATTTGGCTTTCAGGTGTGGCACGCGCGGCATCGAGGCACACCTGCGCTGCCCTCCGTGAAACAGTTTTTGGGGCTTTGATTTTTCAGGTCAGCGCTTAGTGCTTGGGTCAAGGATCTGGGGGTAAGCTTTTCGGATCCCTGCATGCTCGCTGTGAAAAAAGCTGTCCACAAACCCACAGACTCACCTTCAAACTTGCCAGCTGCTTTCATCGAATACTCGATCTTGGGATCCAAGATCAACCCGCTGCCGGTCCCGTTTCTGCTGCTGCTCCGGCTCTGCTCGCTTTTCACGCCTTTCGGCGTAAATCTTCTCCGCATGAGCCTTGAAGGCGCTCAGCATGTTGTTGACTACCTTGCTGAGGTCTGTTGGCACGACCCAGAATTCGTAACAACGGGCAGGTCCAAGGTCGGAGCCATGTGCTGCATGCTGTCCCAAACCTCTTCGGGTGATGAAGCTTGTGAAAGAAGTCTACCAAGCCTGCTCTTGTTCTCCTGTGTGCGATGTCAAATGCATGTCTTGGCTGCGGGCTGGCATGTACAGGACGCTCTGCGCCTGGCCCAAAAAAATCGTGTCTAGATGTGTCTAGAGTCTAGATTGGAGATTCACGTCTGCACAACTGGTTCACTGCACGTCGACTGCGCCTGGAAAAGCATGTCCAGTTCCACCTTTGTCTTAGAGGGTCCCACCTGCAACTCTTAGACACCAAAATTGGCGGAGTAACTTCCCCCAGTGCACGCACGTGCACAGAAATGAACGCGAGTGAGCGCACCTCCGAGAAGCGCCAATCGTAGGCCTTGGAGAGCGGCTTCCAGTCTGCTACAAAATACTGATTCGCTGAATGCACTGCTCGAAGCAGTCTGCTCTATGCAAAGTCACCCAGAATGTTCGCGTGATTGATGCCTCGCTCACTCTAAGTGTTCTGCCAAGCGCTTTCCGTAAGCGAAGCCATCCTTTGCATCGGCGCATACCTTGGAAAGCTCAGAGCTTGCCGCCGATTTGAGGACTAGAGGATTTGGGAGAAATCGGCACAACATTATGCGTAGGTCGCTCAAGCATGGCATGATCCTCATGCAATAAGCGAGCTCGAGCTTGTTTAGAACATTGGTGTTCCCCGCAACCCTGTTTTTAGGCTCTGCGGAGCAGAGCTTTTGTGGAGGCAAAGCTGCCGAGCTCTGCTTCGCGGTGTCCATGAAACATGACGATAGTCATGCCGCTGTGAAAATCACCGGGCTACTGAAGCTACTGACCTTTCTACATTCGCACCGCGTCAAAGCAAGTTGTCTGACTCGCCAACATGCATCCAGGCAGCTCGAGCAGTTTTGCGGCCTCGTTGTGGGAATAGGGAAGCAAATCAAGGAATCAAACGAGAAGATTTTGGATGCGGGCCACCATCCGACAGCTGCGGGTGACAGATGGTGACTTCATAACCTGCAGCTCTGAGTTGCAAAACTCCAGTTGCACATGGTTAAAGCTGATCTTGGTCTTCAAAGTGTGTCTAAACACACAGCGGTTCGCTGAGTCGGTAACTCACGGTGTCTCCCAGAGTGCCAAGGAAGGAGCCGGTCCTTTCGTCCGCGAGCTCTCGTCAGCTCTGGGAAGTAGTGAGTAGTGAGCAACACAAGCGATGTTTCAGACGCGCTGAGCTACAAGCTCGAAGCCGAAGGTGACGTTTCCGTAGCAAACTTCCTGCAAAAGGCACCATGGTGCCGAGCATGCTGCCATACACTGCATGTCCCAGCTACATCGGACTTCGCTGCTTGAGCCTTGAACTGAGCTTCATTTGGACCAGTCGCCGGAGGAGCAATTCTCTGCTGAACACTTCCAGCAGTGCACCAGGGCATCCATAGCCTGGGTCAGACGGTCAGACCCACGGTTGCACACCTGGCCTAGTTGATGCCATTTGCTTCCCATGTTCCGGTGATCTGCCATGACACCCACACAAGGACACAGTTTTTGCGCATGCTGACATGCACCCCTGCAGGGCTACCCAGTTCATGACTTATTCACGAGGGCGCTTCCGGCACACTGCTGTGAACTTCGGCGGACTTCGACATTGGCTTTTATGCCGGCGTTTACGCCCGGTCGTATATTTACAGTAGGGCTTTTCTCCCTCCTCAAGGACAAGGACCTTGTGAATTTTGTTGCACTGTGCCTTTGAGTTTGCTTCAAGGGCGTGCTTCGTCACTGTCGCTTTTTTCCTCTGACAGTGTTGGACATCTCTTGTTCTCATGCAACCTGCTGCTGTCAGGACCTACTGAAGAATGTCTCGTGTTTGTTAACAAACCCAAACGGCTGAGGATCCAGACGCATAAGACTCAAGATCGGCGATCATCGAGTGGGGGACCTTTCAGCAGATTATCAAGATGAGCTGCCAGGCAGCATGCAAGCACCTTGCATACAGCTGCACACTGCACACTTGCGCCCTGCACCTCGATGTTGGCGTCGACCTCGAACTTGACGCCTTCGAGACATCACCATGATCCACTGCGGGCAAGATAGCAAAGCTACCCGGACAGTGGGAAACAAAGCATGGTTGCAATGCACGCCAGTTGTTCATAACACCGGCTCAAAATCTGTAAAACATCTCAAGAATTCCAGTGTCTTTGGAGTCCTTTTGGTTAATAGCATGCCGTCCTGATTGCTTTGGGCCTATGTGCGTGGTCCCTACATCTGAAAGTCTGCCAACTTCGCTGGGTCTGCCACTAAGATGGCGTCCCAGCTTCAAGGTGTACGCAAGCCTCTGAAATTCGTGCACCTGCTGGAAGCACACTGCTGCATCTAGGGAGCATCTACAAGGAATGAAAGCGCGTGGCAAGCTAGGGCCCATGACCTCTTGAATCTCCTCGAGAGGTGCGCATTGTGACCTTGGTGCAGTCGCAAGCCCGGTAAGGCCGTGTACAAATATACATATATATAAATAAATATATATATATATATATATATATATATATATATATATTTATATTTATACTTCATACATACATATAAACTTCATATTATGTATTTATCTATGCATATATGTAGATGTATGCATGCATATATATATATATATATACATATATACATATGTATATTACATATATACTTCTTTTGGTAAAACCCGCTCACGATGCTACAAAGCAGCCCCGACCCATCGGCCGGCAGCTCATCGGCCTCTCGATCAACGCGGGGAGTCCCACTTGAAAAAGGACATGAGTCATATGAAGTCCATATGAAGTCCATCCATGCAACGTCTGCTCTGCGGCCTTCTGACCAACTGACTGGCTGCCGTGCACACGTGCACCTTGGGGAGATGAAGCCAAATAACATTCTCTGAGACGGCTTTGGCTAGAGCACACCGCAGCATACCAGTGACCTCCGATGTTCTTCAGGGACAGGATCTGGACACAAAGGGCTAATGAAAGAGGCCAGGACCGTCTTGCATCATCATGGGCACCTGGTCAGCCAGATGGTTCTCCTCAAGTCCTCTTGGCTAAAGTTTGCTAAAGCAGCTTACGACAGTTTACGACTCTTCTCTGCTAGCCTCGGCTGTGAGATCAAAGTCAGCGCTGCCAAGCTCCTGCGGAGCTAGTGATGAAATAGCGCGACATCTATAGGCTGCAGGGCTGTAGGGCTGAAAGGTTCAACATCCAGCTGAGCACACAAGCAAAAGTGTCGGCACGAATCTTTTGCGCAAACTGATGGCTTTGCAGGCACTTTCTTAGGCCGGCCGGTCTCAAACAATCGAGCTGCATCTGCATTGACTGGAAGTGAGTTCAGGGTGCAGTTCAAGGTGCACGCAAAGAAAGGCGCCGGCCACTGTTTGGATATATGGCTTCAGCTGTTCCGTCGGAAAAGAGCTCCAGAGCAGAAGGATGCGCCGTGCCTGTGTAGTATTGTGAGATAAGCGAGTCCCCTAGGACGAATCTTCCCTCACAACGATCATGTATGCGCCCATCTGCCTGGGCAGTGTGTCCGACAATCATTCTTGTCGCCCCAGTAGCCTGCAGTGTCTTCTGCACATCCTGGCAGACCTTCGCTTCTGGACCCAGGGCAAGCTGCCGAGTCCAGAATGGACCTTCGTCTCCGAGCAGAGGTGAAGGGTCGTCCCGCAGGTCACTGGCAGCTTTGTTGTCGATAAGCTGCCGAACCACACCATTCAGCTCCTCTGCGTTCCTGGCTTCGACAAAGTTCGGTAAGAGCCCAGCGTGCACAAAAAGAACTGGCTTCGAGAGACCATCCTCCGGACCCAGCAACGCCACTGCTTGCATTCGTTGGCGTATGGCCTGTCCCAACCAGCCATTTCTGGAGAAGGCCTCGGACCTGGAAGTGGCGTTGGCCAACAAGGACAGCGTGTCCTTCTGGGTCGAATATCGAAAGTCATCCTGTAAGTTCATGAGTTCATGGTTGCCTAGAAGCAGGATAACTCGCCCACCCTGTTGAGGAGCCTCATCTTGCAAACGGAACAATGCACGGAAGATTTCTCCAGATTCATCCCCGCGGTCAGTGATGTCTCCCGTCTGAACCAGGATCGCCTGCCCTCCCGTCCACTCACCGGCACTTCCCATCAGGCCGAGAGAAGTCAAGATCTTCTCAGTACTCTTGTAGTCTCCATGCAAGTCACCAACCGAGTAGACGTGCCGGATCTCTGTTTCCAACGAAGAGTTCGCTAATGCACCTCGAGGCAGCAGAACTGCAAGGAGCACCAATAAAGGTGCTGCAACCTGCAAGGCACCAAGCATGTTCTCTCTCTCAAGAGGGACGCTCTGTCGAGCCCGTGACCCACGCATCTGCGCCCGCAGCGTCGGTGTGCGCAGCGTCTGCGTGCGCAGCGGCTCACGAGCCCAGGAGCCGCAGAAGGTAATGCCGAAGGCGAGTGCAGCTGTCGAGCATATGGCCAGCACAAGCTTTCGAGCAACACCCATGCAGCGGCTCGCCACCATGGATGGGCTACTCCTGGTCAAACTTCCTGCTCCATGGAAACTTGCCAAACCAAGCTGACTGCCAACATGCTTGTATATGCTGAAATTTCAATACGGCAAAAACCGGCCCTTGTGAGTGTCAGCTATTCTGCTCAATGCGTGCTCGTGCAAAGGCAAACTTATTTGAACTGTGTCCTTCAAGGCTGCGTATGGTTGACCCAACATAGCAAGGCAGCAAGGCATCTGCTTGCGCGACGTTTGAAACAAGCATTCCCTTGCCACGAGGTGCATATCGGAGCTGTGCAGAAAACTCTCTTGCAGGACATGGTATAAACAGCCCCCTCAATAATCAAGCCGTATCCAGCCCGCTCATGTTAGAGTGAAACTGCTCAATGAAATGAGGCGTTTACGTCGACGCGCGAGATGATAGGTCCAACAGGACCTCTGGTGGAGACTACGTGGCACATAATGAACAGTGAGAGGCGTGTGTAAATCGGATGCTTTCGAGCGCGTGTTCGAGGATTGCAAGCAAAGTAGGAGCGGTTGTTTGTGACATTGGCACACAGATGGGGTTTTCTATGCTGAAAATCTGGTGACTTGGGCACTCTCCGCGGTACAGCGAATGTCTGGTGTGAACTCTCGATCCAAAGGCCCGACGATTGGCGCCGACAACGTGACAATGTCCATCTGCGCGTCCTGGAGCGCCGTCAGCACTCGACGTTGTTCGTCCAAGTCCTGGCACAAGATGGAGGCACAAGCTGGCTAATGCACAATCACACTTAGCGTCGCGGATAAGCATGCCATCGGGCCATTGAAAACTGGTTCTGCCCAGCTCCACGAGACGCTGTGTATTCACTGACTCCCATTCAGCTATATTCAGCTCCACCGCTCCTTCAGCCGTTCCTCGAGTTCAGTCGCAGAGACAGTCAGAAAGGGATCTTCCTCCTCCCCAGCAAGCCAGCGCAGGACAACTTGCACATGAGCAACTGTGGCATAGCGTCGTGTCAGTCGCACTTCATGAAGTGAGCTAACTTTTTATTGTGACTGCCTTCCGGAGTAGCCAAGGCGGCAACGGAATCATTTCGTGAGCTACGAGGCATTTTCTCACTGCACAGGAGTCCAGCTAGCTTGCACTGCACCAGATGTATTGAAAATCGTTTGTGCAGAAAGGCAGCAGCTGCCAGACTTCATCATCGGCTAGAGAACGACTGGAGCCCCTACCACGACTCCCTCCATAGGACCAGTCACTTGACTGCCAACCTGAGTCCGGGCTTCATGACGGGCCAATGAGGTGCCAGTGAGATGCTCTTGGCAGAAGGCTGACCAGCACAACAGCATTCACTGCCAAGCCGCAACATCGAGGGAAACACCGATGACGCTGCCTTTGAAGTCGATCTGGTTGAGGGCCTCTTCCCTGACCCATGAAAGGTGTATTCGGAATGTTCCCTGTGGAGGTGCTTCACAGAGCCTGCCTCTTCAGCTGCTTTGTAATCGCGCCACCTGAGTATTTTCAACGTTGAAAGCATCAGAGAGCACAGAGTCTGGTGCGCTCTTCCTGTCCAAGGCGCGGAAGAGTGTGATCCATCCCTCGCCTCGACGCAAGTGGCATTGAGAAAGTGGTCCCAGCCGGTCTTCCAGGGTGCCTTGACCAGCCCACAGCAGCACACCAACACAACACAAAAACGTCTCGCCCACAACAGTGTCCCAAGAGCGAAAGTGCGACCAGGGCTCGGCGGAAGCTTGAGTCTTTGGGATACAAGCACAGGCTATCCTGTCCTGGTATGCTCTTGTCCTTACGCAGTCAACGCCTTCTCACTGCCAGCACCTGGACATCTCCAGACAACTGAGACGGGGACTGTGCTAACCTCAAGGACACCACCGTCATATTGCTCGATGGCGGCCTGCAAGTGATGTCGGAGACAGGTCAGTGGAGAAGTCCAGAGATGCTGGCTTGCGTTTTGCTTGCTCACCACAAACGCAACTGGCCTGAGCATACTCTGGGCTTACAAAAGCAATGCTGGCGCAATCTTCGGTGAGGGTGCATTGAGCAACAGGGCCAACGTGACGTTCGAAAACGTACTGCACTTCCTGGCCGATCAGGCGTACATCCAGGGAACCTCCACGCACTGATCATGCATCATCTGCATGTTTAGTAGTGGCTTTACTTAGAAGTCCTGGTGCTTCAATCGCTTGACCAGGTTCGAGACCTTCGCGGAAAAAACACAGTTTGCATCCGTTTGCATCGCCCTCTCTACTCCATCGTGGCATGTGTTCAGACCAGTGCCTTGACACGAGTAAATACACTCCTGACAGGGGCCAAAACTGGCAACGATCATGGCACAGTTCTGCAAAAAATGCTAGTCCATGCGAAAGCCGTGCCATTCTTCCCGACATTCCCGGAGCGTGCGGTTGCCGCTTAAGCGAGCATCATGGCAGAAGTGTAAGTCAGACGGGAGATTGCGGCCCGCGGGCCCGCAACTTCACAAGACAGAAGAAACAGGATCTTCTTTGCCTTGTTAACTATTCTCAACTCGAGACGAATGAAAAACTAGGTCCACAAGTGGCAAGACAACACTTGAAAGCCAAAGATTAGCACTAAACCGCCATGACACGACAAGAAACACCACGCCGAGTATCCAACAAAGAGAAACTGTGCAGCCGGTGCAGCTGCAGCGACTCCGCTAACACGTGACTGTGAGTCCGTCTGGATGACACACTTTCAGTTTGCAGGTCTTCGCTTCATTTTCAACCATGTGTTTGTCCCATTCGGACCATTTTGGTGTTTTAGCAGATTCGCAAACAACAGGCCAGCAAAAGCAGCACAATCTCCTCATGTTGGGCGGAAGCGAGGAAATCGTCTCCCACTGTGAAGTCAAACCAGGTGGGGGCACAACTGCTCCCTTGGCGCAGGAGGAACGGGTTGTCCAGAACGCTACTGAGCTACTGGTGAGTGCATTGTTTCCGACAAAATGAGACTTGCAGCCAAGAATCGACCTTGGCCTGGGCAAGTGTTGTCTCCCGACTGGCCTTTGCCCAAATCTGCGAACCAGCTACAGAATAGCATAGAATAGTTTGTACGTATTCTACGTGGTACTGCACTGCCAGACTGCCCACTGGACAGAACTCCCGTACACGCCGCGAGCGGCTTAGCCCGGTACCTGACTGTCATCTGGCACCTTGGCAAGACTTTTCGCCTGCCTCTTCTGTCACACCCCTGGCTGTAGCTCACCTTGCTCTCCGCTTATGCTTCTTCTGCTCATAACACTTGTCAGGAGGCGGAAGTCCCAGCCATCAGTGAAAGGCCCGGAGGTCCACTTGCACTTGCACTTGCGGCCGCAGGAAAGCCCTCAGTCTCAGAACCCACAAGGATCTTGAAGTCTTGACTTCCGTGCCAGTGATCCCTCTTGTCTAAGTCCGACATGAGCCAGGAGGCGACATGTTGCCCCACGAGCTTTTGCATTCGTTTAAATAAGAGCCAGTGACGTGCCATGCGTGTCGTGGTGTGCCATGCTCAGTCCAAGCGGCCTTGCGGCCACCCGTGGCCTGAAAGCGAGTGCTGAGCGAATGTGAGCAAATGTGGGAACCTGTGGGGACCAGAGGACTTCGGAGCTCTTGCTATCACGCTTTTAGCACTTTCTCGACTTGGCCTCCCTCTCCAAGTACTCACACTTTGGTCTGAACACTGACCATCGATTAACCACACCGAGCTGCTCCTAATCTCCTAATCAACTCTACATGCAATCAAAATCAAACCCCTCTCATCACTTCTCTGCCTTCCCTCTTCAGGCTTGGCGCTTCGCTACCCTCAAATTCGCTTCGCGGCGCTTGGCTTTGGTTGTTGTGTCAGGACATCAGCGTCCGGCTTTTCGACGTCAAAGACTCAAAGAGACCAAAGAACATCTTAACAACGGGGGCCTTCTCCGCAAAAGCGCTTGGCAACTCATCAGGCTGAGGAGGGTGAGCTTGCCTTTGTGCGAGAGCACAGGGTGCATCAGATGGTACACCGCTTTGCCACTCTGGTTGGAACAGACTCAATTCATCGGCGGGGCTGGAAGTACGTGAGGGCCGCGATGAGCCTCAGGTTTGCGTGGAAGGATTCAGTGGAGGGATGTCTGCATTCTTGGATAGGAATTCGCAATGTGGGAGGGGGGGCTTCTTGCTGGAAAGGCTCTCTTCCACCGGGATGTCGATGCTGAGTGACACTGTAATTGCTGGAACAGCCTTTTCCCCGGAACCTTTTCCAAGCGTCTTGCTTCGTATCTCAACACCTGGCAGATGCATGTCTCAACCGCCGTGTGGCCTGTGAGCTATCGATTCGTGCCTCGCCTGAGCACGCTGTCTGTACTGGTATTGAACACTTGACCATCACCACCTAGTGGGCCAGGAAAGTCTGCAGACATGTGAGCTTCAGGGATCAGCCTCAACATGTCGGAAACCGGAACAGAGGTCAGGTGACGGTAAGGAAAGCTAACAACTTATGACGGCAATTTCTGCGCGTGTCCCGCCTTCGCCGGCAAATGGTAAGGGCGAAGGATATCCACACCGATTTGAACAATACCACCACAGATATGTCGATCTGTTAGTGTAGCAACATGTCTGCCGCCTGCTAGGCATACCCTTCCGATGACAGATGTTTTTTGATTCACTTGCTGTCAAGCCGAGAAGGCTCAAATAACACCAAACGAGGCATAGTTGACCACGTTGCACCATGTTGCTGCAAGTGCTGCTTCAAGTCTGAAGGGGCAAAACAGCGTTCAGAACATTCCATGAAGAGCAACCTTCCTCGTAGTAGACAGTGGCTTCTGCTCTCTTGTCTCGGACAAACTCCTCACACGGTGGCTCTGTCCGCAAGATGCTGGATGGTTTGTGCAGGAGAAAGGTCGGCAACAGACGTGTGCATGTGCCACGTAGCAGCGAAGCTGTGGCTGATGCATGACCCAAAAGAGGTTCGAAGGTTTGAGGAATCACGGACCTCGTGCGCCCTGAGGTCCATAGTGGACAGAATTGACCTGTCGAGAGCGTGCTCTGCAAGAACGGCGCGCTGCTTGTGTACAAAGCAATTTCAGGCAACAGCCGACCGCATGCCGAGTCAAGTCTTTATGAATCTACTCCATCCAAATCCAGAAGCGTGGCAGTCGAGCATTTCAAGCTTCCGTCCCAAGATGCTGAGCTTGAGCCCGCTAACCTGAGCATCTTGGATTGAAGAAAGGCGCGGCATACTGCTTCACCTATTCAACACAGATCTCTCACTCACAGGCTAAGGTACTGACTACATGTTCAGTCATTCGGATCAGCAACCTCATCACATTCTGGTACCTGTAGACAAAGCATGCTGCAGTGAAGAAAGAATTCCCTTGCTGTGGTATGATGCTGCACGCAGAGGTGCAAAGAAAAAAGAAAACTTCAAATCACTCGCAATGGGCACAATTGGCTCTCGATGACGTCCGGCATCCAGACCAAGTTGGTCTCCTCAAACAGCTGTGGCGGAAGATCGACACATGTAAAAAACCGAACCTTTGTTTCTGTGGTGTGCAACGTCTCTCTCGGTTTGGCGGCTGTCGTGCGGGGAGGCTACGATGCCGGTAGCTGGTTCGAACGCTATACTACGCAGAAAGATCCATGGTCTGATGTGCTCTTGGACCTGGCTTGAGGCTACACACCCAAAAGACAAGGCCGACAGGGGATTCCATGGGCCATGCCACAGGCCAAAGGTCGAGACTGTGGATAGTCAGCCCAGGGCCCGTCGAGTCGCCAGGCAAGGCGTTCGCCGGGCACAACGTGAGTTGAGCTGAGTCGGGTAACGTGACCTAGCAGGGTCTTGGATCAATTGGTGCAATAGCGCACCATATCGCCAAGAACCCAGTGCCTTAGCATCATTGCCCCATGGGGAAAGCGCACGTCTGCCGGTTACGGGACAGCAAGTTTTTCATGCGAAGCTTCATCAAGCTGGCCGGCTTTCATATGCATCCAGCAAGCCATGAAACTGACGGTCTCGAAAAGGGTTTGGAGTTGGAGACCCTCTTCAAAATGAGCCGCTTCGGAGGAATCCTGAGTGATGTCAAGGAGGGCTTTTCCACAAGTGGCATGAACTTCCACTGAAGCGATCAGGACTTGCAGAGCGCACAGCAGTTGGAGCAGAAGGTGTAACCAAGAGAGGGTTGAAGCACTTCTACGGCAAGCAGTGCAGCATATGGCAATGGGGCCTCTTGATGTGTTTCTTCGGGAGGCTGGGTGCCAAAACAGGCAACAATCTCCTCCTCGAGGAGCTCATGGACGAGCCAGAGGACACCGAACCGCAATGATGGTTGGTGCTCGAAGCGCTGCTAAAACCGTAGCTGTTCTACGTGAGATAGCGGAGTGTCATGCTCTGCTCGCCGGATGCGACTACACGTTGCGGTTGGGAGCTGCATGGACTCGTGCAACTGGAGTTTATGTGCCGCCCGGACTCCGGACTGGAGGTTTGTAGGACACTTGAAGTTGGCCTCCATGGCCTCTGGACGGTTGGTGGTTGCCTGTGACTGTTTGCCAGTGCTTTGTGGAAGTCATAAATGAGTCATAAACCTTGCCACTTTGCCTACAGTCGGCCGCGCCACTACCGGAGCTGAGATGCGAGCGGCACTGCAGCTCCTTGTTCGATCTGATTGTGTGCGTTGACTGATTGCTCAGTCTGTATAAAACGCAGTCACTGTACACGGCGCGGATGTTGGAGCGGGCATGGCTGATTTAAAACAACCATGTGGGGTGTAGTCTTGTAGTTTGCCTCCCCCGGCCCCTCGAGGAATAGGTGCAGGACTCTGAATGTGTAGTTGCCGGTTTCTATGGGTTCCGCTGCACATAGTAGAACCCGTGTTTTTGTCCTTTAGTTGCAACCTGGAGGCCAGTCAAAAAACTGCTGTCTGTGGTCACATGCACGTTTGTTTTCCTGAAAGAAGTTCGACAGAGACAGCCTTTTCCAGTGCTGAGTCCATCTCTCTCGATGCCTTTCAATGCAGATTTCTGCGCCGTGTGCTGTAAGCACATGAGCGCATGCTGTTTTTTGAATTCACACCTTGCAATAGGCACGTCCTTTGGACCTTCAGCCTCACGAAGGAAGAACGTGACCTAGCTGCCTAGCTAAGCGCACGCAAGTGGCATCCAACAGTCCTCATCAGCCAGCAGCTCGTCAACGAGCTCTGCAAGCACAGCCTCGAGCCAAACACCCCCCCTCATGCCGTCATGAAGAGTCACGGAGAGTCTCATGGTTCTACCCTGGCCGCGCAGAATGTTTTGAAGCTACCAATACGTTCGTGAGCTGGCTCCCCCAGCCTCGTCGATCTGGCAGTGCTTAACAGGTTGCTCCTTCCAAAAGTGCTTAGAGGCTAGGGAAGTCTAAGCTGGCGCAAAAAAAATAGAGCAACTTCAATTTCCATCGACTCTAGACTCTAGTCATTACTGACGAGATCTCAAGGCTTCCAAAAAAGTGCTTGTCAACTTGTCAACACTGCCTTAAGCATCTGCTTCACCAACTGGAGAGGCTGAGCCTGAACGACTCACACTTCTCAGGGTACGTGTGGCACATGTCATGTGTGTACCCCGAGTAAAATTGAGCTCGCAGCTTCCAACTCGAACTTCACCTTGTGGCCTGAACAATGAGTGCAAAAGCGTCAAGGCGTGCGCGAGCGTGAGCTGGAGCCTCTTCTTGCGCTAAACTAGGGGGGCTACTTGAGATCACTCCTTCTCATGCAAACACCACCACCACCGCCACCACTGCTACCGCTACCACTACCTTTTGATACATGTTGCCACTTTACTTCTGCCGGGCCGCCCATGAAATGGATTTCTTCACCGTCACCGGCCAAAAGGTCCTCAACCTCAATTAGCCACTGCGTATCGCTGGCAGTCATGGCCCTCGGCCCTCACTGTCCTCACACATCTACTCTGACTTCTCGACTGATCAATTGCAACTGCAAGAAGTGCTGTGACAGATGGTGCTGCGACACGTGCTGCGGCAGGTGAATTGCCGGGATCACGGCAAGCTGAAACACCACCATGATGCAGTTGATCTGGCACGATGTGCACGGTCAGCAGCTTAAGTGGAAGCTGTGATACAGGCTTCAGGGACCCAAGGAGCTATCCTTAACTCGCTGTCAACATCTCCTCTGCTATAAGTCTCTGAACATCGCCTGTGGGAAGCATTACAATCCGAATGCGATTGCTATCAAGAGCGCATCTGAGACTATGGCATAGAGGCGTCGCTGCGTTGACCGTGGGAGCCAGGGAAGATGAAAGCGTTGCGTCTGCAGCATCATGTCAACAACAGCTTCCAGTTGAGCAGAGCCAACTTTGCTGGACTGCAATGTTGGAAGATGTCGTGCCAGATAACCTTTGGACGTCACTTGAAGGGTATGGCCCCACACCGAGGCTTCGTTCAGTGTCATCAGACACCTCTGAAATGCAAAGACCAAGAGGCGAGCAATATCCACGTACAGCTTGTGCTGAAAGCTGTAAGACAACAACGGAATCATCTGTAGTCGCCCAGCATTGGACATTTCTTGTATGTATATCTCGACCTGATCTCCTTGCTCACTTTCCCTGCCTTCACGCCGAGCTTGCCGCATGAATTGTACGAACTGACGTGGTGTCACACGGCTTTGCGCTGTGTTGCTGTCTGCGGCACCTATTGGATCATGCCGTGAAATTTTGACACGAGCCTGCGAGTTGGGCAAGTTTGGGTGGAGAATCCGCACTTGCAAGCCCAACGCTGTAAATACGTCGTTGGCCGCTTCGGCTGTAGAAAGTGCACCGGATACAACTGCCGCTTCCGCATAGTTTCTGAAACCAGCATTCTTGGGCTGCTCCGGTGCTTTTCGGCCTTGGGCATTAAGAACAAGTGAGTTGCCGATCTTCGCCACTTCCAAAGCTGCATTGCCGACGATTCCCGGAAGCTTGCCGAGTGCCTGCTCACTAAAACTGTTGACAGTCCTTGATGTCAGGGCCAGTGCACGTGCTGCGTCATCCAGCTGAAAGCCTGTACGATTTTGCGCTAATGATCGAAGAGCGGGCCATTTCACAGGCATTTGTTTGCATAGCTTCGGCCCTGTACTCGTTGTGGCCGAGCCTTGTGTTCTGCACAGCTTTTTGCCAGTATTTCTGCAAGGTTAGTAGAAAGCATTGAACTAAGCTTGCAAACCCCGCGCAGGGATTTGAGAGTGATGTCACTTGATTTGAGACTGCTACTGCTCATGACTCTTAGGTTTCAGCATCACAGCTCCACGCATGAGCCATGAAAAGGTTCGACCGGAGGTCAACGAATACCATAATCAAGCTTACTATTATAAAACGAGCGCTTCAATGGTCTTAATAAGAGAGGGTGGGTGATTTGCCAAGACAACCTGACAAAATACGATTGGCATGATGCGTACGATGCACACTGCGTGTTGGGTTGGACCCGTGAGGCCACGAGAAATGACAAACACCGGACTTAACTGCTCTCCAACTCTGCCTTAAGCCAATGAAGCTACATCAGATTGCCTAAGCAAAAATCTCTTTTGAACCTTGTGAAACGCCTAACAAGACACCGAAAAGACAAAAAAACGCACAACAACAGGATGCTGCTTCGACAGCAACCGAGTATCTCAAGTTCCGTTACCGATACCCCTTCCACAAACCTGCAAGTCCTGTCACACACATCCAAAGACGCTTGTTTCGAGCAACGCGCAGTAATGCGCAGTGGGGTCTCGCACGGGTGGAAAATGAGAAGCTGATTGTATGCCACTTCATGGCGATACAAGGCTGCGGAAGCGCAAGCTGTCCATTAGAGTTTTGTCCGGCCTGAGCTGCAATCTGCAAAAGAGTCCTCTTTAACTAGCACTCTGAATTGACGACTGCATACGACTGCAGTTTGCAGCTCGAATACAGCCGACTCCATCACTTGCCTGGCAGTCGCACATCGAGTCATCTGCAAAGGCATCGCAGGGCATGTGATCCTTCAAGACAAACCCCGCCTGTATCGCACTCTGCAAAGGGATCATAATTCCTTGCTTCGTCTGTGCTAGGTCATGTTCTATGATCTTGCATGCTGAAAATCGTGGGCAGCTATTTCTCGCACGTTCTTGGGATGCTGGCAGATTCCTCATGCCACCTGCATGAATTTCCAGCATCACACACGACACGACCCGTCACAGGCATCGAAACACAGCCCTACGTGCCCTCTTTGTGATTTCATCGATTACTCTGTTGGGTCTGCCGACCCAAGTTGGCAGGAGCAGCAGGGCCGCCAGGTGCCCCCGGCACTGAGCCAAGGTTTGGCCTGCGGCCCGATCGACGCGATACAGATGCACGCGACCCTTCTGAGGCGACGCTAAGGCACTGACATGTTTGAGCCCAATCCTGCACAAGCTGTGCACATCTGTGCACAAGGTGGCAACAAAATCCAAGAGCTAGACTTTCAGGGCTGCCACACGGCACCTGGAAGTGCGCCACCAGGGTACCTCGGCGTGCCGCACAAAAGACCATGCGCGGTCGCCACAAGGAAACAGCTCCCTTGGAAGCCGACCCACCAGCTCCCATCCCTGACCACAGACTTTGCATAGCTTCATGTTCAGCTCAAAAAAAGAGTAAAAGAATCAATGAACTTCTGACGAAGAGGAAGAGAGCGAACGAGGGCGCCTCCTCCCAGGCCTCCCATGTTCATCGCCCCCATGCCTTCTCAAAGAGGCCATAGAGATCCAAAGAGGATCCGAAAAGAGAAGGAGCACAACAAAAAAATGAAAACAAATAATCACAGGTCTTTCTAATGTTGAAAGAAGCCCTCGATGGTGAGCTCACACTTACACGTGCGTCTTGTCACCGGCATGACGCCTGTTACAACTAGACACATTTGGTGGTTGCTCGCAACATAGACACGATCCTTAAATGGCTGTGGTTCGGGGGAATGGGCCAGGGCCTTTCCTGACAATGAGCGGAGTTTAGACCTATGGCCGTGTGTGGCCTGTGGGAGCTGTGGGGCCAGCGCTCAGGCCAAGCCCGTTGCACCCGCCTCCGTGCAGAAAAGCGGAAAGCAGCTGCTCGGACTGGGTTGTGGGGTTTACTGTAGCATCACAACGGATGGTATCATGCAAAGCCGGTACGGCGCTCGGGTTACAGGCATTCATTTCAAAGAGGAAGTCTCGTGAAACCATCCCAGAAAACTTCTCTGAGTCTGCTGCCTGGCCCGCCAGAACCCTGATCAACCAAGGCAAGGTGGCAAGGAATCAGATGAGAGTGGCTCTTGATGGTTCATGCGTGGTTGCGCAAATGAGGAACTGACGAGCCCAGCACTCGCAAAAGGATCAAAGCTGGGAGTCGTCGCGGGTGCACTCACCGCCGCCCTGAGATCCGACAAGGTTTCCAGGTCTACGTCGAAGGTCTGAGTGCTTGGGTCTGCACGAGGCAAACGGATCGAAGCCATTCCCTAAGCCCGTGGATGGAGCCTGTCAAAATCATCTTCGCGATCTGCAGTGAACAGCCCAGAGAGTCTGGGAGAAGACGCGTCGGAAGCACGGATGGGGTTGGCTTGTCCACGCCACCGAGCAGGTCGTTCCCCGCCTGGGACGTCAAGCTTCGGTTCTGTTGTCTTCGGCTTCTCCTTCTGGGCTGGGCTTGAGCCGAATTGAGCCGATTGGGCCGCGGGCTGGTGGTGGGGGTGCCACGGCAGGCACCGCCGGAGCCGCCGCCTTGGCAGGTGCGGGAGGTGCCTGCCAGCACCAGGGAAAGGCAAAGAGAAAAACTCAAGCCCAGAACAAAACACGCCACAATTGCGAAACGCGGCGGCCTTTGACCCCATCAGCAAGGACTCAAAGTCCTGAGGTTCGGCCTGGAGCAGCCAACCTGCAACAGCCTGGGCATGAGACGGCACCCGCAGCCCGCCTGTGTCGGCGCCGGCGCAGCCACTGGGGCCTGGCCGGAGATCATGGAATCCACGGCCAAAGACTTGTCGTCTGCCTATGTCTGCATGTTGATGGGATGTGCGTTCTCCAGGCCTGGGCACCCAAGGCGTGCTCCGATTCGGCCTTGTCTCGAAACTGAGGCGACTGCAATACACCATAAGGCACTCTACACACTTAAGGGCACGGTGCCTGGGCATCCTTTCTCGCTTCGTACTCCTTTCTCCGAGCGGACTCAACCTCCAGCTTCGGCACGTTCAAAGAAAAACACACACACACACACACACACACACACACACACACACACACACACACACACACACACACACACACACACACACACACACACACACACACAGACACACAGACACACAGAAACTCACACCGCAAACGCTCGAGAGCAGCATTCCTTTTTCTCTTCATGAGCGATGTCTCTGAACACCTGCGTTCCTCAGTCGCCACACTGGCGATGGGTACAAGTATGCCCTCAGCAGAGGGACATACAGCTTGTGGCGGTCGCAGACCCACCCCCTCTTTCCTTATACAGACAAAGAGTTCATCCACGAACACCCTCTCCCATCGTCCGGCAGGAGGACTCAGGGAGGGCGGGTGGGACAAAAGAAGAAAGAGAGTGAGAAAGGAGAGCTGCCGAGCCAAGGCTGCGTGTTGGAGTGTGAAGTTTCACGACGCATGTAGGCCCTGCAGCCAACCAGCCATGCTAACATGCAGTGCAAGAAACTCACACCGCAAACGCTCGAGAGCAGCATTCCTTTTTCTCTTCATGAGCGATGTCTCTGAACACCTGCGTTCCTCAGTCGCCACACTGGCGATGGGTACAAGTATGCCCTCAGCAGAGGGACATACAGCTTGTGGCGGTCGCAGACCCACCCATGGTTTCTCAAAGTATAGAACGCACCCACTGTTTCAGAAGACATCGCGTAGCCTGAGCTGAAGACTGGATCTGTAGGCTTCTGGCGGGAAGTCAAACTCGGACAACTGCCAGCCTTGTTGCTTGGACCACTCGCAGTGGAGCCCCAAGCGAGAAAGTTCATCGCTCGGGTTGCTGTCCGAGTCTATCCACTCGAAGAATGTTCGGAGACTTAGCTGAAAGCGCAAGATGGCTGCGAAATGAGCGATCTCGTGAATGTCGCCTTCATTGCTGCAGCCTTTGACGGCTGCAGACACTGCCCCTTGGTTGTCTACATACCATAAGGCGTCTGTAGAGCACAGAACTTGAGGATAGAGAAGGGGAAGAATCAGGACTGCCAAAGTTTCGCCAGCAAAAATCTGCTGTTTGCGCGGCTTCCATTCTTCAATGGCCGCCTGCGGCACGAGGCATGTGCCCGCGAGGGGGGCTCGAGGGGAAGGCTGGAAGATCACCCAACCTAAACGAAGTTCACCCCCTTCAAATGAAGCATCTGTGTAAATCACGGAGAAAGGTCCCGCATGTGGCTCGAGGCTAATGACTTTGGGCTTGGCACAGAGCACCATGTGGCGCAGGCATTGGAGGACGACGCGCTCCTCATCGAGCAAACTAGGACGACCCTCTAGTTGCGCCTGTCGAAGTAGTGGCCCTGCATACTTAGCAGCATTACCCGCGCACGACGAGAAAAGCCACTGAACGTCTCCACGGAGCTTGCTAGCATCGTCGCGAGAGAGAGCATTGGCAGCCAAGATGGAATCCAGCTTTGCTGAGACTTTGTGCTTTGTGGATTGCTTACATTGCATAAACATCCAACGGTCAAGGGAAGCATCGCCAACATGCAGGGAGACGCCCAGGTAAGGCCTGTCCGCCGTAGGGGGGAAACTTTTCGGCTTCTGAGGCGGTGCCCCCATGCAGGTGAAGGAGCAAAGGATCCCCTGCCTGGACAAGTCTGACGTGGAAACTGCCTCCAGGGCCAGCTGATCATCAAAGTAGGCAGATGCGAACGCAGAGCAACATCTCCTTGCAACGGCAATGCCCAAACACGGAAAACGGTTGAAGGCGACGACTGCCGCTTCAAGGCCATATGCAAGATCCCAAAGGACTGTGAAGCGCCAGCCTTCGCCCGGGACGAAGACGGACGCAACTGACACTGCCAGGTGCTCCGTGCTGACCGGCAAGCCGCGGTAGGCATCAGGAAGGTCCTCGGTGCCTACGCGGAAGCGCAACCACTCCGGCGCTGGGCCTTGCGGGCAAAGCGCTGACAAGATGTCACGAATGACTGCCGGCACAAAGTCAACGGAGCTCGTCCAAATAGTCTCTGCAAGACTGGCATGCGCATTGTGGTGCGTCTTTCTTGCATTATCGATGACTCGCATTTTTCCGTGCTGGTTGAGCACGAAGCGCTCAAGTGGTCGCCACTGGGCGACCCCGAAAATGTCATCCATCTCAGCTTTCGTCTTTAGGGGGGAACAGAAACCCTTAGATATCTCATCGAGAGTCACTGCTAAGATTTCCTGGTGCATTTTAGGCGGCGGAGACCTGATGATGGCTTCAACCGACTCAGCGGCCTCTGCAGAAAGCCACTGCTGCAACGTAGGAGGGGTCTCTTTGACCGGCACGGGCCGAAAAAGACCCGACGAGCTAATCTCGCCCACGATGCTAAAACCCCTAACGAGTGACATGCCTATGTCCCTATCCGGCCAGCGCAGCAAGGAAACCATACAAGCGGCAAAAGCTGGACTCTTGCTTGAGGCCACTCGCTGCGAGGACTCGGACCTGAAGGGCCACAACGCTTGGTCCAGGGGTTCAAGCGCGCGTCGCAGAGCGCGCACGACGTCCCTTTGTCGCTGAGCCAGACATGGGAAGAATTCCCGCCAGAGCTGCAGGGCGTGGATCGGAAGGAGCAGATCGGCCTCGGGCCACGACTGGGGCTCAAAGGGAGACGGAAGCTGGAGACTTTGCGCGATGTGAGCTTCTTTTCCAAGGCCTGGCGGGAGGAGGAAGTCAAGGCCTTTTGCAGTGTCAGAGGGGTAGCGTTGGCCGCTCAGACTGGTAAAAACCCGGGCTCTGGAACGCCTATCGAGAGAAGAGGGCCCGAGCTCGTGCCAGACCTCTCCGCGGCCTCGAACAAACACAACATGTAGCTGCATGAGAGGGAGGTCGCAAAAAGTCAGGCGGTGCTCGACAGCCTTCCAAATTGAGGGTGGCACGTTGAGCTCGCAGAACTGAGCCTTCATATCTTTGACCAAACCAGCAGCATCATAAAGGCCAGGGAAAGCTGCACGCTTGGTGGGATCCCAGGGGGTCCCCGCAATGCGTGCCCGCAGCTCAGCATCCGGGCGCAGGGAAGGTGGCAGAAATTTGGCAGAGCACAGACTGGGAAGCATGGCCAGAATGGCCATCATGGTGAAGATGTGGGAACCATTACCCAATATGCTGTTGTGAACTTGCCGTCGCTTGGGCTCGTCCTTCACAAGGCCCCCGACTATAGACGAGGGCACCCCAAGCATCTGAGCACGCTCCTCTGGAAGCGGTTGACGCCAATGCTCTTGTTTCCAGACCAGTGAACACTCACGATAGGCGGGCAAGGGAAAACGGCGGTTGTCGCACAAGAAACGGTCCATCACCTCAGGCGGTTCTGAAGCGTCGGCATCAGTGGGGTGATAGAACTCAGGTGTGAAGGTGAAGAATGGTAACGCCTCGCCTTTCATGACCGCTCTGGGCGTAGTGAGGGGCGTAAAGCCTTGCTGCCACTGCATTGTCTTGGGCAGAGGCTTGTCACCAACAAAGCGCAACTCAGGAAACGCAGCAGCGTCTTGAAACCACGCCCAGTCATGCGGTGGCTCTGCCGTGGCCGGAGATAAGGATTTCCTGACAGAGCCCAGCCAGTAGAGACGGTTGCGTCTTGTCCACCCACAAAATTGCGCATCAGATCGGACAGGCTGCCCACCCGCCCAGGCTGACAGCTGCTCAACAGCTGCAGGCTCCATGCTCGCAACATTCTCTAGGAAAGAGAAAATTTCCAGAGCTGCACAAGAAGGGTGGGCCCTCAGCTCACTCAAGAGGTGAACCAGGTGCGATAGCTGGCGAGCTCTGGCATCCGCGATGCCTTTATGCTTGCGGTTCAAGGAACTGTGCGGTTGACAGGGCGAGTGACACCCCTAACACTGCGACGCTGGAGAAAAGGCAGCAGGCATTCAACGCAAATGTCCTCTACCCTGGGAACGTGGACAATGCTGGGCATACTGCGAGACGCACACTCCCGCGCTTGCTCGTCCAACTCGGCTGCGAGGGCATAGAAAGAGACACCAAGGCCCAGGAGCGCCACACAGAGGCCACTGAAGCCAGCCCACAAGTCAAGGACAAGCCACGTGCCGCGGATGGGCGGTATGTTGGGAGGTCCCCACTGCCTCTCCATGTCACTGGACGAGCTGCACGCAAACGTTGCGCGACATCTTGCATGGACAAAGAAGCAGGCACCAAAGGGGGACTAGGGGAAACCACGGCGGGTTCGGGACCTAGGGCAACCCTGCGTGCACATTGCTGCGCTCCAGCTTTCGGCACCTGCGCAGGAGATGGCGGGTTAGGGAACCTAGGGGAAACCACGGCGGGTTCGGGACCTAGCCCTAGCTCAACCCTACGTGCGCTGCTCAATGCAGTTGAATGCGCAATTGAGGCCAAGGATGAGAGAGGCGGCTCTGGATCACAAGCCTGACGTCTGACCTGTTGGCAGACCTGCGGGGGGGGGAGCAACTCCGCCTCACTAGTGTCAGGAGTGATATCTGAGCCGGGAGCCGAACCCTGAACGAAGGGTATCTCGCAACGCTCGAAAGAGCATGCACTCTCAGGAATTTCCGGGAGCCCCACTGAGTGCGAAGAGGGGCCTTCCCCTCTTCAGGCAGGATGCTGCAGCCTGGTGTGCTGAGTGCTGTTGCAAGCCGCTCCGGACGGCAGCCGGACGTCGCAGGTATGAAGGTCCGGGCATGGAGAACGGTTGCACCCCCTGCCGTCATTGTAAGCCTTGCAGAACTTGCGGCCACCTTTAGCCATGGAGACGGTTTGCAAACGGGGAGCCTTGTTTGGCGAGGTGGCGGACGGGTCAGCTGTGACACGACGCTTGGGCTCAGGGGCACCGGCGCTCTCCAAGGACCGAGCTGGCGGCGCTCGCCACTCGAGGTGCGTCTCCTGCAGGGCTGTCGCCAGCGCCGTGCAAGCATTATCACCTCTGCGGACCAAACTGGCCATCTTACCCCGGGTGAGCTTGTCGTTACGCTCATACCAAGCGAGGCTGCCCCCACCAAACTCCACGCAGTTCCGCAAACTGACATCTGCATAGTTGAGGCTCTCGGTGAGGCCAATCATCTTCCTTTCGACGCCGTCACTGTCCTTACACATGTAGTTCCCTGCAAAGGCCCAAGCGTAAGCCAAGGTGCGAAGTGCCCAGTAGTACTCCACGGCGCTGCGCAAAGGCGCGAGAGACTCTTTGTGCATCTGAAGGACGACCCCGGTGTGAAGGAGAATGTTCTCTTCTCTGGATGGCATGGACTGGGCAACGATGGTCTTGATCTTCCGAGCGTCCAAGACAGACATTGTGCGGCGCTTGAACTCCCTGTAAACTCTTCCTCTCAAGCTATCTGCAGGCTCGAGATGAGGCTCCATCACCAACTGGTACGATCGTTTCCAGTCATGTTGCAGAGTTTGCAACGTGGCCTCCGGCAACGGATCATCGAGGTCCATGTCGCTCTGGTGCTGAATGGCAGTCTGCTGGCATGCCTGGATGGCCGTTGACCCGGCCTGCCATGAAGCCTTGACTCGCGCCAGCGCGAGCCTGTTGTCCCTGATAGCGTTCACCTCCTGGCAGAAAGCATTGAGGGACGTCTCCCACTCTTGCTTGTTGATCATGAAGACGAAGTCGTCGAGCGTCTCAAGCTTGTGGTGCTGGAGAATGGCTTCTTGCCACTCAGGAAGCACATTGCACGAAGTCCAACAGGTCCGAAGGCCTTTGTCGTCCGCATTGAGGTCCACACGGCTGGCCGAGGCCATCGCAGCCACCACCGTACGGGGGGGATTGCAGGTGCAAACTTGAGGAAAACTGCGGATCTTTACCAAGCTCTGACAGATCTGTTGAGATGAAAGGGAAAAAAATAGATTTTACCCGCGAACATTCTGTCACGTTACTCAAACTGCATGCGCGCGCAAAGTAGTGGCAAAACGTGGCAGTCCGTCGTGAATTTGCAAGGAGCACTCCGAGGGCCAACGTTCCATGTCACACAGTTGAGCACAAAAGCTGAACTCCACAAAGTTCTTCAGCAGCAAGACCCCACCAGCAGCCCTGGTGCAAAAACACAGAGCGCGGAGTCTGGTAAAGTCACACGCGTACTGCCGTCACAACTGCAGAGATGGAAAACTACGTGAAGCATTATTACATGTGGAAAGAGAGAGGCTCTGAAGACCTCGAACGTGGCATCGCGAAGCAGACAACACACGTGGGAAGGGCATACAACATGTGCACTGCGGGCGAAAACGTTGCTCTGTCCATGCAGGAGCACACGTCTCACCGTACATGTGAAAAGAAGCAGTATTCGGGACTGCAACGCTTTTGGAACAACGTGCCTGCGAACACAAATGAGTTGTGGCAAAACCTGTGCGACCTCACACGTGGCATCGCGAAGCAGACAGCACACGTGGAAGGGCATACAACACGTGCATTGTGGGTGAAAAACGTTGCTCTGCCCACGCAGGAGCACACGTCTCACCGTACATGTGGAAAGAAGCAGTGTTCGAACTGCAACGCTTCTGGAACAACGTGCCTGCGAACACAAATGAGTTGTGGCAAAACCTGTGCGACCTCGCACGTGGCGTCGCGAAGCAGACAGCACACGTGGAAGGGCATACAACATGTGCATTGTGGGTGAAAACGTTGCTCTGTCCATGCAGGAGCACACGTCTCACCGTACATGTGGAAAGAAGCAGTGTCCGGGACTGCAACGCTTTTGGAACAACGTGCCTGCGAACACAAATGAGTTGTGGCAAAACCTGCGCGACCTCGCACGTGGCGTCGCGAAGCAGACAGCACACGTGGAAGGGCATACAACATGTGCATTGTGGGTGAAAACGTTGCTCTGTCCATGCAGGAGCACACGCCTCACCGTACATGTGGAAAGAAGCTAGCATTTTTTCTTCCCCCTCCAGCCGCGCTGCTCGTGCAGGGTTCATAGGCCCCGCGACTCGAGGAGCCGGGCTTTCAAGAGCTTAGGCACACTACGGAGGCAACGTTGGCAAACAGCGCCCTCCATAGGCGGCAAGCCAGAGCCTGTGCGCGTAGGGTCCTGCGGGAAAGCAGCTTTTCGGCAGAACGGTACAAGGCGCTCACCATCATCCCTGCACTGCACAACGTGGAACTTCGCCCTCTGCTGGAACCAGGCCCAGTCATCCACATCGGCTACGGGAAGCACCTCCTCCCCCGAAGAACTCAAATCCTCAGCCTCGCCAGACGAGCTGGAAGAGCTCTGCGAGGAAGAGATCTCCGAAGTTGCCGCGCTGTCCTTTTTGGGGGCATGCCCCCTCGGTGCAGAAAGAGAGGGGGCCGTAACATGCGACCAGAGCAATGACTGGGAAGGGAAAAGCTGCGGCGATCCCTTCCTATGGCCTTGCATTCGACGGATGGCCCTGACCACTGCCTGAAGCACTTGCTGCTTAGCCTGCAGGCTATTGTCAAGCTTATTTCCTGCATAATGCGTGGACATGAGCTTCTGGCGCTTGGCACCCTGCTGCGCCTGCGCCGGCTCTGTCCAGGAGCCGATAGCTTGCATGGAAATCTCATCAAGACCCAGCGTAGAACCACCCGTAGGCAAAAAACGCCTAAGACGGTTGTAGCCTGCTCTGGCCACCTCTTCCGCGGGGAGGCCACACCGCGAAAGGAGACCCCTGAAGAACTCCATGAATCTCGAAGGGCTCAGCTGGCGCCCCACATCCAGCGGTGTAAGCTCCACGACCTGCCACAGCTCTTCCGGTGTCAGCACTGGCCGAGGCCAAAGAAAATCGGCCCCCGCTTTGCTCTGACGGACCACCACGGAACAGATCTCTGCCAGCAAGTCGAAACCTTCGAAGACCAGCTGCGGGAGGGCCCAGTGGTACGGGGGCCGGACGCCCTGCCTTCGGCTCTTACCCATGGCGCACCGGAACTCCAGCCAAGCACCATGATCACGAAAGAAGACTGATCTCTGCATATGCCGGAAGCGAATGCACGAAGCCGCAGACACAAGGCAAGGGGCTGCTAGGGTTCGAGGGCAACCTGTCAATTCAGCAGCACAGATCAACATGTTTGCAAACTCCCAAGGCTCTAACTCATCCCGTTGTTGCTGGACATGTCCAGGGGCATGCAGCCTGAAAGGACGCACTAAGAAATGCTCGACATCGAACTCGGCTCCGACGTTAGAGCGAAGCCAGCGAAACATCTGCCAAAGGGAGGCTGCAGCAGTAGGCCCGCCCTTGCTAACCTCCTGAAGAAAGGAGGCCAAGTCGCGGGCATGGGGACGCCTGATATCAACACTGTGCGCAACGGCGAAACGAATCCATCGTTTCAAACCAGCAGTTATGGTTGCTATGTGTCCTTCAGACAGCCGCATGGCACCACCCAGCACTAACTGAGTGGCCCGCCAGACCTCGTCTGCGTCACTCAAATTCAGGACCGGAAAACCAATCTCTGCTGCGTCCAAGATATACTGGTAGAGCACCACGAAGAGCGCCACACACTTCTTGCGCAAGCTGTCGGAGGGCCGCAACGGTCGATCCCTCTGAGCTATGGTCGTGGCAACAGGCTGCGAAGACACTCTCCACGGTACCAGAGCTCGAGCCGCTCCCTTAGGCCGTGCCTGAAGAAGAGGCTCATGGCCTTGCAGCGTCCGCGGTCCAAAAGGCAGGATGCTCCGCCTGCATAGCTGCACCTCACTGGAACAGGTGGCCACATCGATGCTTGACAGCCGGTGGCAACGACTCCAGAACGCAACCAGCTGACATGCCCCCGCGAAATCCTGCGGGCAGGTCGAAGCATAGTCAGAATAGAGCGCTCCACCATCAGCCCACATATAAGCCACATCCAGTGAGGAGCAACAGCCCAGGGCCAGGAGCCAAGTCGCAGCCTCTGATGACAGGTGCTCCCGCACCGTATCTGAGAAAGCCATGGCGAGGCAGCCCTCCACAAAAGAAGAAAGAGAGTGAGAAAGGAGAGCTGCCGAGCCAAGGCTGCGTGTTGGAGTGTTAAGTTTCACGACGCATGTAGGCCCTGCAGCCAACCAGCCATGCTAACATGCAGTGCAACACACACACACACACACACACACACACACACACACACACACACACAGAGACACACACACACACACACACACACACCCTCCTTTGCTGCCAAAGGTCCCGCTGCATCAGTTTCTTCGCGACGGTCAGCTGAGTTTCCCACCTGCTCGGTGCAGTCTCTTCGCAGCCACTTCGTCCATTTTCGTAATGCATGTCTACAACATCCTAGGCCCAGACTGATCGAAAGACAGACCCTCCTCCGCAAGGAGGGGCATGATCAACGGCAGAATGCGTTCAGCGGTGACCTCCAATGTCCACGTGTGATGGTGCTACGCAGTGCGCAATCCAAGGAGCTTTCTTCAAAAAGGTATGGCATACCGTGCGGCTGGGCCTTGGGTCCGAGGTTCTTGCTCATGGCGTCATAGCATCCCAGCAAGCACATGCATATCGCTGGGGTCCGATCCTGCCAGGGCACATCTTCCAAGCTTTCATATGCCCGAATTCCTCACCTCCCCGTGTTGGCAAGCAACGTGATCTGCGGGCCCTCCCATATTTTCTGTCGCGGTGGGTCGAGGTCGAAGTGTTCAATTGATGTCATTGCGGCTCAGCAGGCCTGCGGGCAAGACAGACACAGAATGCGCAATGCAAAAACCCTGCTAAAAACCCGCTGGCTGCCACCTGGCACCGCCCACTAGGTGGGCTCAGGAGCGGAACTCTGAGGGCTGTGTGCCTGGCAAACCACATCCGTAATCCATTCGCATCATTCCGCCAATGCCTGCCTGTACTTCACTTTGGAAGCTTGTACTTCTTGCTTGTCTTCCACTGGCGGCACCTTGAGGGGGACTTATCCAGAATGCCTGGCACACACATGTCAGTGTAAATAGTTGTGGAGCGCAGCGAGGGACGAAAGCTCGACGACACTGCAGAGGGGCTTATCAAAAGAGGAGCCTCAACCCTCAAAGGATAGTCTGGCAGGCATCAGGATGAGTTTCCCACCACTCCACCTAAACCCAACCAACCAACATGCCGACCTCTCTCATCAGAAATTTTGCTGGCTTCGAAGCTGACGTGGCAAACTCATACTAGTGACGGTCGCAAGTATCCACAAATCGCCTCCCAACCACCAGGGCTTCCCTGGCTTGTGCAGCTTTCTGCCTTGTGAGATGCTTAGATGTCGAAGCATTCAAGGCTTTGCACTTCACATGTCATCGAATAGTCAAGGCCCTGGCAAAGCTGCTCTCCCGCAAATGGGGCAACACCGAGTTGTTGGGACTGCAAGAGCGCAAGCTGCAAGAGTGCAAAAAAGCTGCAACTGCAGTGCAAGGCGGAGTCTTGCTCTGCAAAAGTGTTGCGCTGGAAAAGTCTTGCTCTGCAAAAGTCTTCGACAGACGCGTGGCCTCACTATGGCTTGGGCTTCAGCTCGACCCACTGCGCGGCCCACAGCACGGAGCACCATCACAAGATAGGCCAACTGGTCAGAAGCACGTGGGTGAATTCAGATGGTCGAGCTGTGAAGGCGCCTCCAGCAGACGGCCGGCCACCCAACATTGGAAGCAAGGCCTCTGCGACTCTTCGAGCGGCACAGGCGAGAGAGAGAGAGAGAGAGCAACCTTGTTGCTTAGACACTCCGTTGGTCTGACAGTCTGAGACTATCTGAGACTGCTGCCACGGGAAGTACCGGCCCACGAGCGCTTGCACAACGCTTAGGACGAGCATGCAAACCTTACAAAGCTGCGAAACAGCCAAAACGTTTTGATTCCTGCCCTCGTGTCATGCACTGGGCACCCGGGCAGAGCTCGCGGATACCTTGCACAACAATGCACATTGGCATCTCATCGCGACGTTACCCAAATGCATGTTCCCACTATCGAACCAAGAAAACATTGGGTCGGTCCGGACGAAGCCCGGACGAATGTGCCCCATCGGATCATGATCTGGCTGAACTGATCCGATTAGAGTCCGAGCAGGCCCATCTAGCCCTTGAGGGAAAGGAGAGTGGAATTCCTTGAAGCCTGAACAAACCATGCGAGAGCAAGAGGTGAAATCTATGCCCATACTATCCGTGTTGGCCCAGATGCTACGTTGCTCGGCTCATGAGTGATGTTTCGATTAGGCAAGATCTGGAACATGAATCGAAAATCCTGTCAAGATCCAGACTTTGAGAAACGACTTGAAGATTGTTGTAAACTTGACAGTATTTGGCAGAAACATGTCTCACTTGCTTGAGTTGGATCTGTCCTCAAGGTTGCACCAGGCTTCGTGAGCCATGTCTGTGGGAATGCGGTCACACCAATTTCCACAGTGCAGAAGGCGTTTGAGGCGCGCGCCAGAATCGAGGAAACTAAAGTCCGCTTGAAGACAGCATTTCCAGCATCTGCTGTGAGCCATGAGCCTCCGTCTGGCGAGACGCGAGCAGATGTGAGCAGGTCCCATAGGTCCCATCCAAGAACGCAGGTGCAAGCAAACTGCAAGAGCTCAGCACCCGGCGCATTCGCTTGTAGAGATGCCTCGGTCAGAGGCTCCCTGCCAATGGGACCCCGTGTCCGAGACCAACACCAGGACGAAATCGGATGACTAATCAGTCTGAAGACGAATCTTGGAGACGCACCAGGCGATGCTGACGCCGAGGAAGGCCGCTCCGACGCTGAGGGCCGACAGCCAGAAGAAGTAGAGCCTAAAGCGCAAACGAGGCTAAAAAGGCGACCAAAAGGCATTCAAGCCCCCTTAAGCCCTGCAGCGGCAAAAGTAGCATCTCAAAGCCCAGCATTGCATGCGTCTTTGGATTCTCCACAAGTCTCCCACCCTTCCAGGACAAAGTGTTCACCTTGCAGGTACCTCAGTGAATTCAGTGAGCTCGTTCGCAAGCGTGACCCCGGTGGACTGGGCTGCTTCTGCTGTGATCGGTAAGCTCAAAGCATGCAATCGTGCGCAGCTTCGAGTATCAGGAAAAGCAGGCAGAGCAAGATTAAGGGATTCTGGTACCTGCCGCCGATGGTTGATGCTCTCCATATCCCAGTAAAGTGACAGCGCAAGCTTGGGTCACCATGGCTTCTCAACAGCCTGATCCATGAAGTCTATCAGCCGAAGCCAGTACTGGCCTTCACGAAATCTAGACTCTAGACACGATCAGATCCTTCAACAAAAAGACATGGCCAAGCACAGGTTGTGTCCCCGGTCCCCGGTCACTGCGAGGCGGGCAGATGCAAAGAAACGCAGCTGCTGACAGTGGGAAGAAGGCCGTGTATGAAGCGCCGGCCTGACTGCATGCCGCACCGAATGCTTCAACACCACGAAACTTGAGAGCAAAGCCGGCGCACCATTCGTTCTCTCAAACTCCCTCGACCACGCGGACTGTGAACCAAGGTTGCCTGACAACACCGACCGTCGTGCTCAGCCGTACCATCGATAGCAGGGAAGAAATGCAT